TAATAATAATAATAATAATAATAATAAAACACTACTTTCAATGTGTACACCACCACACAAACTTTAACCTTTTTTTCGTCTGTTATCAAGTGGTTTTAAATTTACACGTTAAGATTTGTCAAGTTTACAAAAAGAAAAAAAAAACAAGAAGCAAATATAGCTTTTAATAATCATTGTAAGTCCATCCCAACAGCGGGTGGAGCTGAAGCATAAGCAACAGTGTTCGCACACATACACACACCAAAGTACCAACAAATAGACATCTTTGTCGCATGAAAGCAAGTCCATTGCAGGGGTGCAGTTTCAAGGCTGTCGGCCCATCAAGTCCACAGTCCGATTAAATAAAACATACAACTAAAAAAAAAAAATGGGAGGATGATGAATGTAAACATGCAGCATCTTTCTTTACTTCAACTGCTTCAGTACTTTTACTAATAAAAAACTAATACTGAGGCTTTTGCTTGCAAATGTTTTTGTAAAGTCCACTTCAAATTGAATAAAAATTTATTTTTTCCAAATATTTCTGGGTCATATTCTCAAAGGAGCCATTTTTTAGTGCAGTATATTTGCCACAAACTCTTTAATCCATTAATTCATTGTATAAACCTGGCACAGAAAGTAAGGAAATGTGTGTTTGGTTATTTCTTTGCTGTAACAATGCTTCTTGGCAATAAATCTTATACTATTGCAAAGTCTGTTAATTTCCCTTTTAAATGGAGCCAAATTTGTAAGGAACATGCATTTGTGGGATGAGCAGTAGAGCTGAGTATGTTGGTTGTGCACATGAAAATTTTGCCAAATTTTCTCAGTCAAACAGCTTATTTTGCCATTATTGGCACTTGTTTTGAGCTTCTCGTAGCCCAGGTGCTGCCAATCATAAGATTTATAGCCAAGAAGCATTGTTACAACAAATAAATAATCTACCAGCACAAATGTCATTTTTTTGTGCTAAGCTTATGGTAAAAAAGCAAAGTCATTACAGATCCTTAAAAAAACACAAATGGTTCTGATGCATCCATGTGACTTTCATTGTTGGACTTAAAGTCGAGGCRTAAACCTCAACGACTCAACAAGTGAGAACCAAACAGCTTTTAGCTGTTTAAAGACAGCACTCGTGACGGTTTGTTTGCCATCCCAACAGAAGCCAACTCAAGTTTACAGGACAGTAATTCATTTGAAGCAGAATGAAACACAACAGGTCACACACCAGTCCTTAAGGTGATAAGATAAGCCACAATTTGGGAGAACAGAATGTTTCCTGAAAGCCAAAAACAATCAAAAATATAAAAAAAAAACGTCTGTAGTGCAGTTTAACAATTTCCTTTTTTTTTTAAACATAGCTCAAGTCTGTCAGTTTATCATCATACTTATAAAAAAAAAACAACTGTCAGCATCCACAAAATGTGAATGAAAAGCATCATGAGGAATGAACCAAACAGGCGGTTAAATATTGGCTAAAGCACCAAATAAAATAATGTTTTTGTTGTTTTTTAATTTAAATAAAACATGCTGGGAATGCAATTTTATAGCCACATAATCAAGTTGGAGCTCTAAAACATGTTCAGTGTTTTATTCATTAAAAAAAAAAACAGTGGCACTTAGCAAACGATATCTGTCCTCCTTCATTAAACGCTTCAGAATATGGACAGCATACAAACATCATGGCTTTGTCAACAAGTGCACAGAATACACAAATAATATACAACCCCTTAAAATGAATTTGGTCACACGTTTCTGTAGAAAACTTGAAATGTAAAGTATTCAACAAAAGTTCAAATACAGATTAGGAAAGTACCACAGGGATGATTGGAAATGGGTTCGAATGTTTAGTGTGGAAACACTAGAGATGAAAATACTGGTAAGGGTTCACCAGAACTACAGGATAAAAAACGGTGAAGCAGCTGCGGCACCGGATAAGCAAGGGGGGCAAAACCATTTGATTTCTGACATTAGCTAGTCTCTTTTTAAAAAAGGCAAAACGAAAGTTAAAGAAATGGACTGGGACCAGATTCTCCCCTCACAGGAACACTGCTGCCCCCCTCCCTCAGATCACCTTAAACACAACGTCAGATTCAGCTGCCCAGGTTTTTAATTGCACCGTTTGCTAAAAGCGATCCAGAGTTCACTCATTTTCTACCGAAGCTGCTAGGAGTAGCCCTTGTGATGAAAAAGTTATGAAAACTGACCTGAATTACATTTTGAAGACCAAAAAACAAGCAAACAGCTCATTTTACGTAATATTTTATCTATCAGGCAAGACGCATGATATGAGATTAGTACCAAGAGCCAACGCGCGATCCTTTCAAACTTCTCCAAAACATCACTGAAGAGTAAATATTCAACCACCCCACTCCCCACCCACTTGTTTGTTTCCATTTGCATAAAGCACAAACCTGACGTGGAAACCGGTTTTCCATCGTCACGCACATCAAAACTGAACGGCAAGAACTAAATATATGAAGTATCGTTAGAAAGATAGAAGTGTCCATAAAATAATTTGATATTTTACAGCAGTAGAAAAGTTCCTCCATCGCCAAAGCTGGAAAAAAAACTGCGAGCTGAAAAAAAAGGAATTCCCATTTTACTGAAACACCACGCAGTTTTGACTCATCAGTCAAACAAAGCAGCAAAATAAAGACCTATTTGCTCACTGTGTGTTTATCAGATATTAGTTGATGGCAAAAAAAAAATAAAACAATAAGAAGCCCTGCAAGATGATCACCAACTTGAGACTTTAAGCTTTAACTGGCTGCGCAAGAATAATGATAAAAAATATCATCTACATCTGACCAATTGGAAATATTCCATCACATGTGCACGGAAAATTATAAAAAAAATTAAGAAAATAAAAAACAAAAGAAACAAAAATACAGTACTATTACAAGCTCAACTCAGACAACTGTCAACATATAAAAAAAGCCACACAGAGTGGCTCGTTATGCAAACATCAAAATGGTTCAAAGATTTCATGAGACCAGTTCTTAAATCAGCTTTCATAATATCTGAACCGACAACGGAAACACGCGGTCTGAAACCCAGCTCGTTTCAGTTTTGGCAATGGTCGAGAGTACAAATACTAGGGGTACGATTCCTTTTAATAACGTGTGTCAACGCTTCAAAAAAAAACAAAAAACGAGGCAATCAAAGAAGAAAACGAGCGAGCTTCTCTTTGCACTTTCACGAGTAGTCATCTTCGATTCAGCTTCGACAGACAAACAATAGCAGAAACAGTTTAACCGAGAATATCTAAAGTGAACAAAGAAGATTTCGCCGTCTCTGCGAAGCCCTCACTTTGTGTGAGCAGCGGGAAAACCTTATTTACATTCAACAGAGCTCCTTGTGCTCTGAGCGAGGGGAACCGGGTGCCTCACTTCACTTCGCGTTGGCCCGGGTGCGTCGATTCAAAACGAGTGATCCTTTGCAGATGAGCAGAGTCCTGGAGTCTGCTGCCTGGCCTCAAACACGCCTCACGCTGSAGTGTAGAGCATGCATGGGTTGTTTTCAGTGCAGTAGAGAGCCCTTTGTCCATAAAAGCTTGTTCTATCCAGAGAAGGCCCTCCACCCACCTCCAACACTCAATAATGTTAATGTAGTGTACAAGAAAAAAAAAAGGTGGGGCAAAAGGAGCCAAACGAAYGCTCCAAAAAGAGGACAAATGAGTGTTTGATGTCAATGTGTTACTGTGCAAGAGCAGCAGTTAGTGAAACCACAAAACAGACTCTAAACTTCAGCAAACCAAAGATCTGAGTATGGTTGGAGCGTTGTGGGGAGCAGGAGGGTAGTGGTGGTGTGGCAAAGACTGTAGCAACGCAGCTGTGCGTCTCTGGAAGTTAACGCTGTGTGTGTGTGTGTGTGTGGTGGTAGTGGGGTGGGGGGTTGGGGAGGATGGTGGCGTCTTGATCTGGCGTTCCTTCTAAACCAGGTTATACTCTTTGAGGTTGAGCTGAAGGATCGTGTCTTTGACGGCAGCGAAGACGAAGCGGATGTTCTCCGTGTCCGTGGCGCACGTGAAGTGCGAGTAGATGATCTTCTCGCTGTCCGGGTTCAAGTCCACAAACATCTTCAGGATGAACTCTCGTCCTGCCTGAGCGTCTCGCTGGGGACCTGGGAAAAGGAACAGGTTGGTTTGTTCACCTWGGGTTATGAGGATTTAATCTCAGCTTTTTTTTTTAAAAGGACACAGTGGCAGTTTGTTAATTTACTGCAGTGATTGGGCAAAAGAGGCGGGCAAAAAAAAGCTACTTTAGAATGAAGCGCTTCATAAATAACAAAAATAAGTTATTGGTTTTGAATTGTAGTACGGGATCTCAACCACAAGGTGTCACTCTAAAGTAAAATTCCCTAAAACCTTTATGCAAACAGAACCACCGACAGTTTCAGCCTTAAATTATATGTTAGAAATAAATATACAATAATAGAATAAAAACAATCACATTACCATCAAACTCTGGAAAGTAGTCTACCAGGTGAGAGTACATGATCTTCTCCTCCAGCAGGTCCTTCTTGTTGAGGAACAGGATGACAGAGGAGTTTTGGAACCAGGGATATGTGATGATGGTTTTGAACAGAGCTTTACTCTCCTCCATACGATTCTATAACAGAGGAGATGGACAAAAAAATGAGGACAGGCTGAAAAAGTGTCTGCTGTTGGGATGGTATTTGGCTCTGACGGGCTGAACAGTTCAGAGTTTCAGGCTGGGATTGTGGAAATAAACGGACAACCTTTAAGAAACTACAGGCCCTTTCCTTTTAGCGCCTCTATAGCACGGTTTTCCACGAGCAAGGTTTCGTGGAACCAGCCCCTTTTTTCAGAACTTACTTTGCTGGTTCCACGTGTACAGTGTTGACTGTCGGTTACTGACTGGTTAGGGGGTGGAGTCACTGGTTGCATCACGAGAGCTACTCTCTGATCCACCATTTGCAATAACTATGAAACCATGTCCTACATTGTTGTGTATGTGTTGTGTATCTTTTTGGGCTCTTCTTCTACTATGTTTAATGGTGGCTGGCAAAAAGCTCAAAGGGGCGTAACTGTCACCAGCTGCTAAAGCGGGTGGCGTCAATTTTTGGACTCTGAGACCACCCAACTTTACGATGAACCCATCCACTAGAGCTGTTATTGAAGTGTAATGGAAAACCATCCGAATTGTGTTGAACAGAGTCCAGCCACGTCGTACCATGCTGTAGAGGAAAAAGGGCCTGTAGTCTTTCAATATGATCTCTCTGTGTGTATAAAAATAGATTAAAAACCAAGCTGTTGATTTTGAAATGTGAAATTTCAGTGATTTTAAATTCATATAGATTTTTCTTATTTTTGTATGTGTTTTGATGGATTTTAAATTTTATTTTGATGTTGGTTTTTATATTGATTTTGTTTCTTTTTGTTTTTTTTATTTGAGTGGTTATTTTTATTTTATGTTTTTTTACTGTTGTGTTGTAGTCTGATTTGATTGGGAGTGGGTTTTACATGAGTCTATTCAGGCTTTTACTCTTCCCTTGCACGTGAAATATCTCATTTTGAATTGTTGTTGTGTTCTTTTTGTATTTCTTTTTGTGTGTTAAACAAAACCAAATTCAAAAATCCGGTATTATTTGCAGGGAAAAGGTTAGGAATGCAGTATAAATATTTCCTTGAACAGGTCCGGTGCACGCAAGGTACAGGATATGAAACCACATCCAGACCGAACAAAGGTGCATTCTACAAACTGGAGGGTGAAGTTTGTACTAATCCACAGCAGATATAATGAGTTACGTTGGCAACTGTGTCTAGTTTATGAAACCCAGTCGTCATGTGACCTGGGTCAAAGAAAACATTTGTTGTCAGAGGGAGCAGACAGGCTGATCACATTAGCTTTATTAGAAATAATTCTCTGACCAATCTGATGGGTCAAAGCTAACAGCACAAACTGAAAGTATCTCAGGTAAGCAGCTGAAATTCTTACATTTAGCTGGAGGGAAACAATGTTTTGGATGTTCAAATATGATGATTGTCTAAAACGGTTTTGTGCCTTTCAGACAAATATAAAACTGCGTTTTATAAAAATATAATGGCATTAGCACAGCTTTTTCCTTTTACAACCATAAATTGGTATCGTGTCCACGTTACTGCAGGCCCTGCTTCAATCTGTCCTTCATTCTCCCACGCGGCTACTTTAACTCCCTTACATGGAGCAGAAGCTTTGTGTTGCTCTAAATATAAAAATGTACAGATGAACTGATCTCCCAAAGGAACAAAAAAGAAAAACTCCATACTCTGATGTCACAAATTCTGTTCTACAGTTCAGCCACCACAATGATTATATGTGGTGGAGCCCATCTACCTCCAGCAGAGGAGTTTGGGTTTGCAGATGCTCCTCACTGCAAATCTTTAACAGATTGGAGGATCTGTTCTTTATAGCTGTATGAGTGTTCGGGGATATAGGGATGTTGGCTCCTGATTCTGTTTTCTGGTGTTACAAAGAGTCCAGAAGAGCCCACTGTTTTACGTTTGTGGGGTAATTTAGTGTAGAAATGAAGCTGAAATCTAAATCTGTGTGATTCAAAACAGTGCAGTGCAGCACCTGCTCAAAATCTGAGTCACTGCTTGTGATGTGAGACTTAAAACTAATAAGCTGTTGTTTTTTACAGTTAGAGGCTGCCTGAAGTCCACCAAACATGCTGCTCGAAGACTAGCTGCTAAAAGATGTGCTGCTTCTGTTTGTTCCTCTAAAGATTTACACATATGACTGCCAGCCATAAAAATGTCAGTCATTCTTTAAATCATGTGTCAAACTCAAGCCCCACGGGCCAAATGAGGCCTACTACTGCAGTTTACGTGGCCCACGAGAGCTTCAAAGACGTATTGACGACTTAAAATAAGCGAATGCTGATTTAAAACCAGCGTCATTGATAAACTAAATGACGGCATTGCTAGCATTTTGCTGCATTTTCGCCAGCTACTTTTACTGCGGTCCAGTTGTACTGCGAAGTGGGAATTTCCCACTTACAAGTCATAAATTTTAACTTGACCACCTCTACAGTGGGAAGTCCCTGTGGGAAAGTGGGAGAGTTCAGAATTTAAGATGGAAGCTATTCACTATAACTCAACAGTGAGTAAAACTTTTGTTTTTACTTTTAATAGTATTTCTGTATTATTTGTTAGAAATTTTGTCAGTCGTACACGTAGTACAGGGCTATTCAACTGGAGGCCCGCGGGCCACATCCGGCCCATGAGTGACCAAAGTTTGGCCCGCCAATTGGTTCATTCATCTCTTAAGGCCAAACCCCTGGTTTCTTTCTTTAACTCCTATAAGTTCTTTTAGTTAAACATAGACATGTTTGGTATCTACAGAAACACAACAGAATCTTGGCTAGAAGCTGGTAAAAACAATTTCTATGCACACTCAAAACAGCTAAAATTACAAGCAGTAAATGAAGATAAAACTATGAAAGTGAAAATAAAACTGGTTTAAAAATTTGGCAAGTCAGAGATGTTAAAACAATATTTGTGTTAAAGAGGCATACTGTTTTATTTTTGTTTTTGATATTGTTTAATTATCACTATTTTAAAGGGTTCTGTATGTTGTATTCATGAAGTAAACATAAAACAACAACTTTAATTACTGGATGTGTGGCCCCTGAGCTGTTGACCTGCAGAAGCAATTTAGTTGATTAGCCCTGACGTAATACTTTTCAATGTTTATTTTTTGATCAAAGTCTTTTTTATTATTTTTTAACATAATCCACAACAAAAAAACAAACTAACAAAAACACAAACACCCGAAATCCCACCCATCCCACCCC